AACTTCATCTGCCCCATTTCCATATCAACTAAGACGCGCCCAGTGGCAAGGAATGGTCTCCCAAGAATGATGGGAACCTTAAAATTCACCTCACAGTCAAGAATCACAAAATCCGTCGGAAAGATGAACGACTCTACTTTTACTAGTACATCATGGAGCACACCAATTGGCATCTTCACAGTTCTATCGGCCATGAGAAACCTCATCACAGTCGGTTTTGGATCTCCCAGACCCAATTTCTTGTAAATAGACAAGGGCATCAGATTTATGCTAGCACCAAGATCACACAACGCCTTAGCAAAATGCAGCAACCCGATAGTACATGGAATAGTGAAGGCACCAGGATCCTCTTTTTTCTGCACAAGGGACCTTGTAGCAATAGCACTATAATGTTGCAATCTATCATTATCTTCGAAACTCACTTCCCTCTTCTTTGTTACCGTGTCCTTCATAAATTTTGCATATCCAGGCATTTGCTCCAAAGCCTCTATCAATGGAACATTGATTAAAAGTTACTTCAACATGCTAATAAACTTGCGGTATTTGCCTTCTTCAATCTTCTTCACTAACCTCTGTGGGAAGGGAGGTGGAGGTCTAGGTATGGGAAAAACTTTCTGAGTTACCTCCACTTCTTTCTCTGTCGCATTCTCGGACTCCACTTACCTCGACCGCATCATCATCTTTACTATTCTCAATTTCCACTCCAGACGGCATAGGTGGATTAATGGTTTGCTTACCCCCTCGAGTAGTGACTGCCATACAATACCCATCATTCTTTGGATTCTGGATGGTGTTGCTAGGAAGAGTGCTAGGTTGACGTGGATTTAGTATAGTTGACAACTGAGTCATCTGTTGTTCAAGATGCTTGATTGACACTGCATGGGCATCAACTTTTTGACCAATACTGGATAAGTCATTTTCTCATCTCCCTTACATTCTCATCAGTTGCATCAAACCTCCTCATCATCTTCTGCATCATATCCTCAATACGTGACATATTACTTCCAGCTTCCCTAGGGGCAGAATCCTGATTTTGAGGACGAACATAAGGTCCAGTCCGATCGTTTCTGTTGCCATAGTTGTTCCAGTTGTAATTGTTGTCGCGATTGTAGTTCCCATCTCGAACATATTGATCCTCGCGGTTGTAATTTCCATAGTTTCGACCTTAGTTTCCTTGACCTTGGCGCCAATTATCCATGTTGGAACCTTGGGAATTTGGTCGGAAACCCCCCGTCTTCTCATTCACCGCATAAGCATCCTCTTCAAAATAATACTCCTCTCCCGGTGGTGGAGTTCTAGTCAAATAGTTCACAACATTCACCTTCTATGCTCCTCCAGTCATATGCTTTAACACCAACCCTAGTTCAATTCTCATCTGGGCCATCTCCTCACGAATCTCATCTGCGGGTTGGTTGTTTGTAGCTTGAATGACAAACGTGTTCCTCCAGATGACTTTCTAGTTCTCCAAGCTTTATTGTTTTGAGATATCTTCTTCATTTTCTATGTAATTATGCAAAAGTGCATTCACCATACGAACCTCCTGCAATAGTATCCAACACTGCCTTACCATTATCATCTTGTCCTTGGTAGAAGTAATCCTTCATCAACTCATTATCAATACGGTGATTCGGGACACCTCTCATGAAGGCAGCGAACCTGTCCCAAGAACTACTCACAGACTCTCCAGGTAGTGCCACAAAGTTGTTGAGTTTGTCCTTTTTATTCGTCTTCTTGGACACTGGAAAGAATATTTCTAAGAACACCTCTATCAACTGCTCCCATGTATAGATTGAGTTGTAAGGGAGTTCATTGAACCACACAGCAGCATCTTCGAGCAATGATAGGGGAAACACTTGCAACCCAATGACGTTCATATCCCAATCAGGTCGACCGATGCAGCTTTTGCAGACATGGTTTAGTTTGACTATGTGGGCATGTGTATCATCCGCTGGCAAACCCGCAAACAAGCCTCTCGCTGTAAGCATCTGCATCAAGCTACTGGTCACCACAAATGTATGCCCCTGAGGTAGATGCGGTAGGACAAGAGGTCCAGAAGAATCGGCAATATTAAGGTTGACCCTAAAATTGTCAGGTTGTCGTGGTGTTTGTGTGTCCTGTACCTCAATGAATCTCCCAATCTATTTTCAGCTGGCACTTGATTTTATCACCTACTCTCGGAGGTTGCAATCCAACTCTTTCACCTAACTCTCCTCCGATAGGGTTAATCGAAAATCCTTGATTATTCATTCTCTGCAAAGTTCTATTTAGGTCGGGATCGTACGGAGTAAGTGGTTTACCTTGGCTCCGTGTACTTGGCATACACTAGAGTAAGACCTTGAGAGATACAAAAAAACAAAAGAAAAAGTAAAATTAGGAAATATTTGACTAAAGTTCAATAATGCAATTAAAATTAATCTAAAAGCCTTATTTCTAGACAGTTGCGCCAAAATTTGATACGCTCAAATTACACTTCCTAAAGAAGCGTAAGCGATCATTATAAAGTAAAGAACCCAACTTGTAGGTTGGGGTCGATCCCACGAGGAATATGGTTTAGACTTAAGTTCAATGACGATTATATTCATTTAGCCAATGTATTTCTGAGACAAATAAGTAAAAGGGTGGTGGGATTTGTATAACAAATTTTGGAAATTATGAAAGTAATTAGTAAGCAAGGTTCAAACTTTTGTTGTTATCAAATTGAGAAGGAAACTAGGGCGTACATGTTCCCCATAAGCTCATAACTCTGTAATCCTAGTAATAGCAATCCCTTCCTAGTGTATTACATGCAAAGCGATAAGTTATGTATCTCTAAATCCTTGGTCCGACATCTAGAGAATTTTACCCCGCACCTTGGTATGGCTACGTGTGTATAATTTACTAACCCTTACCATTACCTCATATTAGATGTCACCTCGATGTATGATTTAGTTTTCACCCTCACACCAATCGACATTAATTCTATTAGATAGTATCACACTAAATCTATGTTGATAATTCTTTTCTTATTAACTACCTCCTTGGTCCGAGAAGTAGCAACAAGGCGAGTTTTAATGTTTGCAACCGCTAAAAAGATTTCTAAACGAAAGAATTATCAATGCATGCAAAACACTATTCGGGAATTACTTAGTTACTATTCATACTTCATTAATCGCTCATGGTTCCCACAACCCTAGTTGTGGATTTAGTTACCCATATTAGTACGAACACAATTCATATTTGTAGAATAAGAAATCATGAACTTGCGTAATGAGAATGATAAACCCAGAATTTCAACTTGAATTGCAAAGTCAAAATCTTCAAAACAAACTTAGGAAATTAAGAATTGCTAAAGTTGCAAGTTGATCTCCCAAGCCAAAAACTAGAACTAAAATAATAAAGTCTAACCTCCTAAAACGAGGTTTACATACCCAATGCAAGTTGATTCTCCTTCCATGCCTTGCCCTTCTGATCTACGATCACAATCTACGGAGCGTCAATGGACCTACGGTCTGTAGATCACCTTCGTAGATGCCCTTTCCTGCATTTCTTTTAGCTATCTCTTTACTTCCGTGCCTAAACATCTTTCTTGCAAAACATGATAAAAACACATAAAAACCAATACAAAAAGGCCCTAGACACACACAACTCTTAAGTGAAATGTATTAAAAATACTGTAAGATCATGGTATATCAACCATGAGTGGCTAAATACCTCGACTGGGGTTGTGGGATCCATGATGAAATTCTAGTTGCGATTCTATAAAATGAGTAAAGGGCAGTTTGGGTTTAAAATCTGTAGTTTTTACCTTTCAATATCGTTATAATCTAGTAAGTGCACGCATTAGATGAGCCTGTATCTGGTATTTGTTCGAGAGAAAAATACCAGTTAAGAAAAAGCTGAACTAAATTAACAAATTGGAGTTAAAGCTTGAGTTTGAGAGAAAAGAACTTTAACATCATATCATTGTAAGCGAGGGTCAACGTTAGTAACACTCTAGGGTCGAGAGAACATGAGTGATAATTATCTGATTAGGCTGAGAAGTGTCAGATAAATTTAACTCGCAATGATTCTGTAAACATTGATTTGCCTGACGCTCAATTACGGAAGAACACTAGAACTAATGTTATGGTGAACACAATCCTGGTTTCTCTTAATTAACTAAATCAACCTTACAATGAAATAGTCTGTTAGTCGTGATTTTGGATTTTGACTGCAAGTTTGGTAATCATAACAATTCAACCAAACCCAATTTACTTTTCGTTGTTTATGTTTAGGAGATAATAACAACATTTGAATAAATGCGACAGTGAAACCTTATCTGTAAAAAGATTCTCTGTGGGATCGACCTCAACTCTAGTTGAGTTTTGTAAATTGACATCGACCGTTAGTGTTTTACTAGCTTTTATTCAATTTGTAGTTATATTTCCTATTTTTACATTTTGTTCTGTGTTTGTGTCTCTTTCAGGTAAGTTCGCTTGTGTATGCCTAATACTAGAAGTAAAGGAGCCCCATTGCTTCCTTACGACCCTGAATTTCAGAGAACTATTCGAAAAATGGTTAATGCACAAGAACTGGAGGCTCAAAGGCACATAATAGGCTTAGAAGCTGAAATTGATGTTGCAAGGAATGTCCAACAAACTGCTGGAATCAATCAACCTAGGCAAGGTATCCAACAAAATGCTGGAATCAATCAGCCTAGGGCAGTAGATGATAACAGAGGGGTGGAAGGATTAATCCATCCCCAAAGCCAACCAATAGATCCAAGGGGTAGAGCTCAACATCCAGCTCACATGATGTAAGAAGAAGATGATGATGACTTGGATGGAGCTGGAGCCACTGGAGCTGCAGTGTTACCTGCACTACCTCCAGGTGTTAAGTTCACAATCACCAGCACTATGATTCAATTGTTGAACCTAAAAGGTATGTTTAGGGGTGCAGCTGGTGAGGATGTGAATCATCATCTGATGAACTTTGTGGGAATCTATAAGTCATAAGAGTTTCCTCGAGTGAACCAAACAACGATGAGATTGATGTTGTTTCCACTGTCTCTTACTGGAGAGGCAACTAACTGGTTGAATGAGATGCCAGACGACTTTATCAGAACATGGACTGAGCTAAAGAAAGCTTTCCTAGAACGATTCTTCCCAGAATCAAAAGAGCTGCAGATGAAGGACCAGTTAAGTACACACAAGCAGCTACCAGGAGAAGCAATGCATGACACTTGGTGGAGATTCATCCAAAAGCTGATGAAATGTCCTAACCATGATCTTACTGAGAGGCATCTGAAACAAGCTTTCTATAGATCTTTAAACTATGTTACTAAACCTGTTGTTGATGCAAGTTATGGAGGTTCATTCACGAGAAAGCCATTCTCGGAAAGCATGCAACTGTTAGATGAAGTGTCAAAGAACAATAGGGCTTGGTACACTAGAGATGCAAAGGTAGGAGAGCTTGGTTATACATTTGAGCGTTCAGCTGAACAGAGGAAGAGAGAAGAAGAAAGGGACCAAGACATGGCACATATGTGGACACAAAGATATCTGCTCATAAAGCACATCATAGCCAAGTATGAAAAGGTAAATGCTATGGGACAACAAAACAAGTATGAGGATCAGGATATTGACCTTGATGAGGAAGCTAACTACTTGGGGAGCCAAAGAGGTTTTCAGAATTATAACTCTGGAAATCAGGGTTACAATTCTGGAAACGCATGTCAGAACTACGCTAGGGATGGTCAGTATGATAGGCCAACAAATAGAGATCAGGGAAACTGGCAGAAAAGAGATGGGTATAGGAATGATCGCAGTGGTGTTTATGTACCCCAGGTAATAGAGATCGGGCAAGTGGTAGTTCCAGCGGGTCTAAGTTAGAAGACATGATGGCTAAGGTACTCTAGAAAGTTGAATCAACTGATGCAGGGGTAAAAGAAATGAGAGGTGATTTCTCGAGCATGAGTCAGTTAGTGGACTCTCACACCACCTCCATTAAACAAATTGAGCAGCAATTGGGGCAACTCTCAGCCTCACTGAATCAGAGGAAGAATGGGTCACTACCAAGTGACACCATCCAAAATCCTAAGAAGGACGGGCATTGCATGACCATTGCCACCAAGAGTGGTAAAGTTCTTACTGAATCTATTCATGTAGGTACCAAATATAAACAAGTCTTGGAGAAAGCTGGCAGAGAGGAGGATGAAATTATATAGGTAGATGATTTGGAGGATGCTCAACCTAAAGCACAACCTGTGGAGGAAAAGAGAAAGAGGTCGAGGAAAACATGCCTTTATAGCAGATTCCCAGACCACCTCCTCCTTTCCCTCAAAGGCTCTAAAAGAAAGCTGAAGATAGGAAGTTTACAAAGTTCATCACCATGCTGAAACAACTTTCAGTAAACATACCACTAGTGGAAGCCTTGGAGCAGATGCCAGGATATGCCAAGTTCATGAAAGACTTGATTACCAAGAACAGATTTGTAAGTATTGATTTCTCTATGGATATTCATCATTGCAGCTCCATAGCTACTAGATCACTGGTTCAGAAGAAGGAAGATCCAGGTGCATTCACTATCCTATGAACAATTGGGTCAATCAAGTTTGCAAAAGCTTTGCATGATCTAGGAGACAACAACAACTTGATGCCATTACCCATCTATAACAAATTAGGATCGGGAGTTCCAAAACCCACAACAATGAGATCGATGATGGTTGATAAGTCAGTAAAGTGGCTTGTGGGAATCTTATATGATGTACTTGTAAAGGTGGACACCTTCATCTTTCCAGCTAATTTCATGATCTTGGATTGTGAAGTGGACTTTGAGGTTCCCATCATTTTGGGAAGACCCTTTTTGGCCATAGAAAGAGCTTTGGTGGATGTTGAGAGATGAGAGTTGAAGTTCAGACTCAACACGGATGAGGTAAAGTTCAATATTTGCAGGTCAATGAAACAACCACAAAATATGAATATAGTATCTGCAATAGAGGTGGTTACTGATGAAGAAATGAGAGTACCCATTGAAGAGAGGATGACTGTTGAAACATTAGCTGCAGTGCTGATGAACTTCGAAGCTGATTTCAGGTCAGATTATGTAGAGACTGTGAATGCTTTGCATGGTATGGGAGCACACTCATATGCTCTAAAGAAATTGGACATGGAATTGAAAAACAGGCCAAGCCCTCCAGTGAAACCATCCATCGAGGAGCCACTAGTGCTGGAACTGAAACAGTTACCCAGTCACCTCAGGTATGTATTTTTGGGTACTAATAACACTTTACCTGTGATCTTGGCTGCAAATTTAAATGAAGAGGAGGTACAGGAGGTGATCAAGGTGTTGAAAAGGTACAAAAGGGCCATTGGGTGGACCATTGCTGATATAATTGGAATACCTCCGGGTATATGCACCCACAAAATTCATCTTGAGGAGGATTGCATCCCAAGCATTGAACACCAGCGAGGGCTAAACCCACCTATGCAAGAGGTGGTTAAGAAAGAGATAATCAAGTGGTTAGATGCTGGGGTAGTCTATCCCATTTCGGATAGTCACTAGGTTAGTCCAGTGCAATGTGTGCCCAAAAAGGGTGGTATGACTATGGTGGCAAATGCTAAAAATGAGTTAGTCCTGCAGAGACCAGTCACTGGATGGCGAGTCTGTATGGACTACAAGAAGTTGAACAAGTGGACTTTGATGGATCACTTCCCCATGCCTTTCATGGACCAGATGCTTGATAAGTTGGCAGGTAAAGGGTGGTACTGTTTCTTAGATGGATATTTTGGCTACAATCAGATATCAATTGCTCCTGAAGATCAGGAAAAAACCACTTTCACATGTCCTTATGGCACCTTTGTGTTTAAACGCAGGCCATTTGTATTATGTAATGCACCAACAACATTCCAAAGGTGTATGATGTCCATCTTCTCAGACATGGTTGAGGATACTCTAGAGGTATTTATGGATGATTTATCTGTAGTAGGTGATACTTTTGATGACTATTTGTTCAATCTTTGCAGGGCTTTACAGAGATGTGATGAGGCCAACCTAGTGCTGAATTGGGAGAAGTGCCATTTCATGGTAAAGAAAGGCATAGTCCTGGGAAACAAAGTATCACAGAAGGGGATAGAGGTCGATAAGGCAGAGATCGAGGTGATTGAAAAGTTACCTACGTTAATCTGTGTGAAGGGTGTTAGAAGCTTTCTAGGCCACGCCAGGTTCTATAGGCGTTTCATCAAGGACTTCTCAAAAATTGCACACCCCATGTGTAAGATTTTGGAGAAGGAGGTGAAATTTGTCTTTGATGAGGCATGTCTCAAAACATTTGAGTGCCCAAAGGAAAAGCTGATTTCAGTACCAGTGATCACTGGCCCAGACTGGGTGGATCCATTTGAGGTAATGTGCGATGCTAGTGGGATTGCTTTAGGAGTTGTGTTGGGGTAGAAGCGCAACAAGATGTTTCATCCGATTTACTATTCTAGTAAGTCGTTGAATGGGGCACAACGAAACTACACAGTCACTGAGCAGGAACTATTGGCTGTGGTGTATGCATTTGAAAAGTTCAGAGCGTACTTGCTGGGCACTAAGGTGATAATTCATAGAGACCATGCTGCTCTGAGATACCTCATCGCAAAGAAAGATGCCAAGCCGAGGCTGATCCGATGGGTGCTGGTTCTCCAAGAGTTTGACTTTGAAGTGAAAGATAGGAGAGGATGTGAGAACCAGGTAGCTGATCACCTGTCCAGGTTGGAGGCTGCAAAGAAGGAAGAGCTAGAGCTTGAAATAGATGATACATTCCCGGATGAGCAGGTATTAGCTGCAACTCTTGACCTTATCCCTTGGTTTGCTGATTATGCTAGTTTTCTTGTTAGTGATGTAATGCCTGAAGGACTACCATTTCAGCAAAGAAAGAGGTTCATGCATGATGTAGGTAAGTATTTCTGGGACAAACCATATTTGTATAGGATTTGCGCTGATAACATCATCAGGCGGTGCATTCCTGAAGCTGAGATGCTGCACATTTTGGAGGCCTATCACTCATCTCCAGTAGGTAGTCATCATGGCGGTGCTCGAACAGCCCACAAGATACTTCAGTGTGGGTACTACTGGCCCATAATTCATTAAGATGCAGTGGACCAAGTAAGGAGCTGTGATGTGTGCCAGCGGCAATGAGCCATCTCTAGGTGCCATGAGTTACCCATGATACCCATTTTAGAGGTGGAGTTGTTTGATGTGTGGGACATTGATTTCATGGGCCCTTTTGTGAGTTCCTATGGACAGAACTATATATTACTTGTAGTGGACTATGTTTCCAAATGGGTTGAGGACATTGCTTTACCTTAGAATGATGGCAAGAGTGTAGCTAGATTCCTAAAGAAGAATATTTTCTCAAGGTTTGGCACACCCAGAGACATTATCAGTGATAGTGGTTCTCATTTCTGCAACAAGGTGTTCAATGCTCTTCTGACCAAGTATGGGCTTAAATAACACAAGGTTTCTACACCTTATCACCCATAGACCAATGGACAAGTAGAGGTTTCCAACAGTGAATTCAAGGCAATCTTGGCAAAGACAGTAAATGCCAACAGGACAGATTAGGCACGAAAGCTAGATGATGCTCTATGGGCATATCAGACAGCTTTCAAGACACCTATTGGTATGTCTCCGTATCAATTGGTGTTTGGAAAGGCATGTCATTTGACGGTTGATCTTGAGCATAGAGCACTCTGGGCATTCAAGAAGCTAAACCTCAGTTGGAGCGAAACTGCAAACTTGAGGCTGGATCAGATCAATGAGATGGATGAGTTCCGTCTAAGAGCCTATGAGAGGTATGCACTGTATAAGGAGAGGATGAAGCTATATCATGACAAGCATAGTGAGAAAAGAAGCTTCACTCTTGGTGACTTGGTGTTACTCTTTAACTCCAGACTTTGTTTGTTTCCAGGAAAGCTGAGATGTAAATGGTCTGGACCTTTTAAGGTCACACATGTGTTTCAATCTGGTGCTATTGAGCTGGAAAATGATAAGGGTGAGAGGTTCAAAGCTAATGTCCAGCGAATCAAGGCATATTTTGGTGTTCCTGAGGATGTGAAGATTGTAGAGGAATGTAAACTTGATGAAGTCTGAGTAATTAAGTGACTTGCGTCGCGCCAAGACGTTAAATTGTGCGCTGCTTGGGAGGCAACCCAAGACGTAATTGTACTAGGTATTTTACCTTTTTACTTATTTTTCTTTGTTTTTATAGAGTCACTGTTTGCTGATGTGTGCATGAGAGAATAAGTGGGAAAATGCAGTAACTACTGCAGACTGAACTTCACAGACAGTCTCACGGACCTTAGTGCCCTTCACGGGCACTTTCATGATCCATATACTTGATGATCAACCTAAGGAAGCTACTGGAAATTTCACAAAAAAGGGTTCATGGAAGGGTTCACGGTCTGTCAGAGCTTGTACAAACAGTTTAGCCTCTCGTGAACCTCAAGTATGAATTATAGTTTCTGAGCCAAGGTTACGGAAAGGTTCACGGACCATGGTGCCCTTCACGGGCATCTTCACAGTCCGTGGCCTACCTCAGGTAAGTCTCCTAAGTGATAATCACGGAAAGGTTCACGGACTGTGAAGCCCTTCACAGGCATCTTCACGGTCCGCAATCTATTACCCAGTACCACCCGTATTCGACCCGACCTGCGCATGACCCAAATTGAGATTAAATGTATATCAGTTCATAAAGCACCAAAGGTCAATTTTTTCTCTCCTTTGTTCTTCCTGTAACGGTTAGAAACGAGTTCCATCATCAATCTATCCTAAATCCACCCGAGAATCATAACCCTAAGTTCGAAAGTTGATCAACTGATCCTAATCAAGTTTATCTTCCTCTGTTTGAAAA